GAGAGAGAGAAGAGGGGCAGGCACATGTCCTGCAGTTATCATCTTGGTTTCCCTTCATTAAAAAAAAAGTCAATAGGCAATTTAAAGTTTCATTGTAGTTTTAAAATGTATTGAGCACTTGCACTACCAAAAAGTAGCATTCTGAAAAGAACCATTTTTTCCTGAAAATCTAGAACAGATTCAGAAACACTTTACAAGTAGAAGATGTGTGCAATTAGCAATCTGTAATTCTAAGTAAATGGCACTATAGGGAAGATAGAATTATGAGTTGTTAGATTCACATAAGACTCCCACTGTGGTGGTACTAACAACATATTCTGCTGAAACTCAAGCCTTTGGTGAGAAGAGTATAGCCCAGAGGTGGGCAAACTATGGCCCAGGGGCCGCATCCGGCCCTTCAGACATTTTAATCCAGCCCTTGAGCTCCCGCCGGGGAGCAGGGTCCGGGACTTGCCCCGCTCGGGAGCTCCAGTTGGAGAGCGGGGACTGGGGGCTTCCCCGCTCTGTGCGTACCTTGGCTCCTGGAAGCAGCGGCATGTCCCCCCTCCGGCTCCTACACATAGGGGCAACCAAGGGGTTCTGCACTCTGCCCCCACCCCAAGTGACACCCCTGCAGCTCCCATTGGCTGGGAACCACGGCCAGTGGGAGCTGCAGGAGCGGCGCCTGAGGACGGGTCAGCGTGCAGAGCTGCCTGGCTGTGCCTCCGCATAGAAGCCGGAGGGGGACGTGCTGCTCCTTCTGGGAGCTGCTTCAGGTAAGTACCGCCTAGAGCCTGCACACCCGATCCCCTCCCATAGCCCTGATCCTCCTCCTGCTCTCCGAACCCCTTGGTCCCAGCCTGGAGCACCCTCCTGCATCCCAAACCCTCATCCCCAGCCCCACCCAAGAGCCCACATGCCCAGCCCGAGCCCCCTCCCCCACCTCCTGCCCCAGCCTGGAGCCCCTTCCCACACACTGAACTCCTCATTTCTGGACCCACCACAGAGCCCACATCCCCACCCAGAGCTTGCACCCTCTCCCGCACCCCACCCCCACTTTTGTGAGCATTCATGGCCTGCCATACAATTTCCGTACCCAGATGTGGCCCTTGGGCCAAAAAGTTTGCCCACCCCCAGTATAGCCCATCCCAGAAAAAGTGAAAGTGTCTTACATGGAATGCACAAGAGTGCTCTTATCTACACACAATCCTTGCATTAAATCTTGAATT